TGAAGCCTTTCAAATCACTTATGTTTTCATGAGAAAGCAGTGGATATCAATAGCAGAAGAAAAAACCTAAAATGCAAGGAGAAAGCCTACACTCTACCACACTAGTTTGTATTGTTAGAGAGGAAAGTAAACAGCAATGTTTGCTAGGCTGAGGATTTTCAAAAGTTGTATTTTATTTTGTGTTTCCTTTCAAAAATAGTGTTTTCATGAATATGCAACATGCAGGGTCTGTGGCACTGGTAGTGTGTCCATCACCATGGTACCTGAGCACTCAAGCAAATGATTAACCAGCAGAGCAAATGAAACAGTAACACAGAGCCAACAGACATCCTGACAAGCTCTTCCTATACCTGCCAGTACATCTCTATCTGGACCTTTACTCCTTCAGGCTTTCCACTGTCTTAACTTTCAACCATGTTCTTATGAGAACCAGATTGTTTTCTCAAACAGTGCTAAGGGATGCAGAGCCCTCAAACTGGCCTAGGGAGAAGGGTGAGATTAATAAAAAAAAAGAAACCCAAACAACAACAACAACCAAACCCACAAATATTTTCACCAGGAACACACTTGCTTAAAGACACAGTAAGGAAAAACTTTTCATTTACACAAATTGACTATGAGTTGACAAATTTTGTTATGTTTGCCATGCCATCAGTCTGGCCACTTTAAAATGATTTTTTTGAAGAGGGAAAACAAGTCTTTTCCTCACTAAGGGCCAAAATGACGTTTCAGGAGACTGATGCAGACCATACATGAACACTACTTTAAGCATTACTGATAATAATTAAAAGAATACATGAAAATGTATGGCTATAGGTCTTCTGTAGAAAGCCTGGAGACTGCATCATCCCCTCCTCCCCACACTTCAGGTGCAAGTTAATGACAACTCTGATGATGTTTGTTTAACATAGGTGCATATAATTCTTTGAGCTTCTTCTGGCTTGAGATGCTTAAGCAGAGACCTCTGGGGTTTTAGGAAAAAAAAAAAAAAAAAAGATATTCTTTTGAATCATCTACCCCTTGCTGTTCTGCTTTCTGTACAAAATCTCTGAGGAGCAGAGGAAAGCTGAGGGCCTTGCATGCAGGTCAACTTTAAAAAGGCTGGCTCCTCTCAGTATTGGGGAATTATGCAGCTATAACACAGCCCTCACAGAAGAAGTTTCCTGTTTTCCATCACTAGTCAAGGCAATAATACTGGAGTCTAATTAAATTACTGTCATGTGAAGTTTTTCCTCTTTACTATAGCTGCTTCAGGCTATGAAGTAGTTACTTCCCCTCCATTCCAGTTTTTCCTTTAAAAGACTAAGTTCTGGGGACAATGCCACATTACCAACAGTGAAGACTCAAGTGCTCTCTTCCAGTGCTGGTATGCTGTGCTACCACAATGCCTCAGCAGTTCTGAAGCACACAGGAAGCACTGCACCACCCACCCATATTCAGCTGTGAAAGTGGCGTAAAGTTCAGGCTAAGCATCAGTTCAACTCTGCTACCACTCCTGTCTAGATTATATCCATCACTGTCATCTCTAAAGATTCAGATAGTCTGCGTGCTTCATCAGGCTTTAAAATCATAGCTAATGGATGATACATTTGTTTAGCTGTTAGAAATGGCCTTGAAGATCTGTCTTGGCAAAGGTGATGAATTAAGGATGTCAGCTGAGCAAACAGTTTAATTTTGAATTAATTTATCCAAAATTGATTACTGAAAAAAATGACGTGAATTTTTCAAGTTCATATTATTTCACATACTTTAGCAATAAGTATTCCACCCCTTCTTGCCATCTGACTTACCAAGCATAAAACTGGAAGAACCAGCAATGATGCCAGCTTCTTAGATGTGATACCAACTTTGGATACTATAACCAGTGAGAAGCCACTTTTTGACTGCAGCAGGGAGTACAGCTCTCCAATGGTTTAGCCCTCAGCTGACTAACAGCAATTCTGTTAAGCTGCCTGAACATGATAGCTAAAGCATTTTATGGAAAAAACGAGGAACACAAAACTCTGAAACCAACAACTGCAAAGCACTATTCCATGACACATTTATTGAATGTACCTGGGGTTGGTTTATTCTCTATGGTCCATTTTCAAATGAATTAAAATAATAACTTAGGGGAAAAAGAAAATTATCTTAAAATAGTAATGAGTTTTGTGGTGGTTTTTTTTTTTTCTCTCCCAGGTAATTTGGAGTCAGGAAGAATCCAAAATAACATCATGAGTATTGAAAATTACAGGGTAATGTTGGAAAACCTCTAGAGGTCATCTAGTCCAACCTCATGCTTAACCCAGTGCCAACTGAGAACAGGTCACTCAGAATTAAAAGAAAATAATTTGAAGCAAAAATAAATAAAAATATAAGACATCCCCATTTTGCACCAAGAGGTAAAAAGAAAAAGCAAGAGAAGTTTTCCTGAAGTATATAGCTCTTCTGTGTTGTTCACAAGTAAGTAAGACCGATATGGAAAATATCTAGCCTCCCTTAGCTGACCTTGTTCCCTTTCTGTCTTGTTGCAGGTAACATTTAGCAGTGTGTGGCAAACACCGACTCAGTTGCCAACACTGCTCTGCCACACTCCAGGCCAGAAAAGCTAGGAATGCTGCACATTCAGCTTCAATGAGGGAGAAAATGCTCCATATCATTCATTCATTAGCAGTCCCCTCCAAGTTAATTACAGGACAGCTGCTGAAGAGGGTTCCACCCCATCTTCGGGCTGGGAAAGCAAGGCCTCCAGGGCAGGGAAAAGAACAGGGTGGGGGAACCTTGTGAGTTCGAGATCGAAGTGAAACCCAGATGACTCATCAGAAAGTGAATGTTCCTATTTTGGCAAGAGGCTGAAACAGCAGCCCTGGGTTGCACTGCAGCACCGCAATAAATGACCCTGAGCGCCTGGGACAAACTCCTGTGCACATTGATATTCCTAACAGTAGGGGTTGTTTCAGATCTCGTTAAGCCAGAGGCTTACATGACAATTAACACATTAATTATTAGCATCTTTTTCACAGGTGGAATTTTGGCTTGAGATTTGAACATTTTTAGACAACTGCTTCATGCGTGAAAAAGAAAGAATAGTTTCCTACAACTCAAGTTGACAAGGACTCGTATGCAGCACTGGCATAGGAGTAGACTGGTCTATGTACTGAGGAACACTGCAAACAAATGATGGCTTTTCCCAGAATTTCTATGCAAGGAGGGCTTCCTGTACAACATCTGCAGCCTGCCACTCAAAACCTAGCTCTCAGCACAGGCAAGATGCCAGGCTGGCCAACTTCATTAGGTGACCATAAAAGGCCTACGGTACCACAAAGTCACACAGAGGCAGGGCAAAACCCAGACTTGAACAAGCAGTAGCTTCCATTTCTCAGCTCCAGCCTCTGACCTGTGTGGTTCCCCACTACAAAAATCCCTTTGATTATATCTGTAGAGAAATAATCCGTGAGGAAACAATTTAACAAACATGAAAAAGCAATCATGCTAATTTCACTGGAAACAGGCACCAGCTGTAAGAGAATGTTTACTGTCCTACAGCTTCACATTTGAGATAAAGAACTAATCATTTCTATCAGAGATCACTTTAAAGAGGAGTTGGTACTCAAGTATGGATTTCCTTAAATTGCAGGCATGTTTCTGAGGGTTTTGCTCAATACCATCTTTAATTTCTATTATATCTTGAAAGAATTGATTTGTGGGTATACAAGACTTAGAGCACTGGAAATGGAAAGAAAGGAAGAAAAAATTGGGAACTGGAACTAGAACTTGTAGCTTTCAAGCTCAGGGGGGTTCTGATATTCATTGAGTCCCTTCTCTGTCAGATGGATGTTGCCAACCCATGGAAAATGGTGACGTGCTTTATATATATTATCTTTCACTTCCCTCAGGTACATACTGCAAGGAAGTTGTGTTCTAAACAATGTCTAAACAATCATCATATTAATCTTTCATATATTTGGGCACTCAAAGCACAGAAAATTCAATGTGTAGTGGTCTTATCTATCATACCCCTTACAAAATAAAACCAGGCTCAAGAGGAACACTAGATAACTTTCCCTTCAATTAGCTTTTCAAAGCTATTGTATTTTTTAGAATATGATTTATTCCTTTTATTATCAGCCTGCCTTGTTTCAGATGGGTACTGTCTGACTGACCTCTAGATACCCTTGCACTTTCTCTGTGATATCCCCTGAATGTCAATGCTTCAATTCTATATCTTTCATTTCCCAAACGTTTCTTATTGGTCACCTCTGGCACCGGTGACAGCTGAAGTGGAAGTTTATCCTCTGATAATCTGTACTGCTTTAATAGTTCCCAGCATCCTGAGGATATTTTCTAAGTGTTATGGTGACACCAGCTGAAATCTTGGCAATAGAAAAGTGTTTCATATGATTATTTCCTAACTTAGTCTCTTGGGGTTTTTTTCTGCTTTCCCAACCCTCTGTCAACCCCTTGATTTCTGTGGCTTAACTCCTTTTGTTATTGCTATATTCTTTGTTATTACTTCTCAGTATCTCTCTGATAATAAAGCCTTTGAAGAATCTCAGGGCATTCCCACTATGCATCCAAAATCTCTTAATAAATTTCTGCAAACCTCCAAGTCACATTTGTCTAACAGCTTAGCAAAAATTCCTGTCTAAGAAAGGAACAACACTAGTCACATCTTCTTTATATATTTATCTGTAGAGTCTCAAAGCTATAGCACATAAACCTTCTAAAATGATGAGCATGTTTCAAACAGTTCTAATATAAAATATTACACATAACCCAAGCCACTAGCTTTAGCCTGTCTCCAAAATAACATATGCTTAGAAATGCTTATCCTTGTAGCATCACTATCCTCTTTTTGGTCTTTTTTTTTTTTTTTCCCCAGGATAAAATTAGTATTGCACCAGCATGCCTGAAAAAGCAGAATTCTCATATAATTTCAATCACTTGCTCAGTTTGCTCATGACTTTCCTACAGCTGACTGAACATCTATTATCTGAAAGAGAAGCTGTGAGTTTGCTCACCTCATTCACCTGCAGGATCTTTGAAATGCCTCTTCTTCTGTTCCTCCCAAAGAGTGCCTTCCTGCATCTCCCAGTCCATTCCCGAGTCCACTGAATATGCAGTCATCAGTAAGTTCTGGCTAAGTTATCCTGCATAACTCTGAAGAAAACAGGAAAGAGTCGTGGATGCTGCAGAAGGTTGCCTTTGCTCTCTTCGAAAATTTTGTGCTGGTGGTCTGTCACAGTCAGGTCTCCAGTAGTAAACTGAACAACCTATCCTCCTGGCTCTTCTTTTCTTCTTTTTCTTTTCTGTAAACACATAATCCGTGCTTCAAATCCTTTAGGTACCACAAACTGCATTTCTCTATTGCCCTCTACTGACTGCCTGCTAACACCGCCTTCCCGGAGAACTGGCGAGCAACAACACAGTATGCTTTCCTCCACCGCCCGCCCTCAAATCAATAATGATACATGATGACCAAAAGTCAACACAAATCATTCTATTTTTTCCTTTGTTACAAAACACCAGGCAAGATTTACGGCTTGTTGGCCAGCCGTGGTAGCTACAAAACACTAAGCAACAGAAGCAGGAAGCAGTTAGTAACACGGGTCTGCTAATGTGTTTTTTTGGCAAATAAAAGCCAGGAAAAAGTAGAGACGAATACATTCTGCCTTGAAATGTGGGCGAACTCACCCCACCGGTGTCGTAAATACTGTACCAGGAAGCTGAGGATTATCTGGTTTTAAAGGGCTGGCCCTGCCAGCACTGGATGCACAGAAATACTGACTTTTGATGGGAGTTCTGCAGAAGGGGGCTCGTACAGAGCCATGAATCGGTGACCACGGTTTCTTGCTCATTTTCCCTTTGTCTCTGGAGTTTTATATGCTTCGTATATTCAGCACCACACTTAAAATGAGAAACAGCTCCTGCCTTTCCTGTCTCATGAGACAGGAACCAGGACAACACACATGACACACTGTATACAAATGGCACTGAGAAGTGGTGTGTGGACTGCTTGTTGGACAAAAATAATCTATAATGCACAGAGAAACCAATGAACTAACATAAAGAACTGCCCAGCATAGTTCCAGGAACAGAAGAAAAAAAATGCATGAGCATTCAGACAGACTGGAAGAGACTGAGGGGAAAAGAAAACCAGGGGTAAAAAGACTGTAAGAACAGGTCGGGGGGAAGGAGAAAAATAAAACTGCATCATTTACCTTGTATTAGTCACTGCTTAATTAGCATGGTACAGTGCTTGTTAACCAAGTCACTCTGGCACTTGCTCTCACAAAAAGTTAAGTTACCCCAAGGTGCTGGTGCAAGAGCTGTGGCCTACCTGCACCACCAGAGGGGCAGGGAGAGGTCAGGCCCCAGCTCTAAACAATACTCAAATCCCCAGCATGTTTTTGTTTTGCTGGGAGAGTACCTGGCACTACCCTGCCTCACCATTCCTCCTCCTCTACAACCAACTCTCCTATGGGGAAAGCATAGTTAAGAAATGATAGAAACAGGCCCACCCCTGCAAAAAAAGTGTTGAAATTACTGTCGCTTACTTGCATGCAAAAAAACCACATCTGTTTTTTCCCCCACCACTATTAGTAAATGGGAATATTTCATCTGCCAAAATTCTGCTGACCAACGAACACTGGTTGTGTTTTAAATAGCTGTTAAGTGACATCCCTGCTCTCCCACTCAGGAAAGGCCGAGTTTACACAAACCCCATCATCAATACCTGGCAACAAAAAATGTGATGTTGGAGGGTCCCTTGGAAAATTCATTTTTAGTTCAAAAATAAAGTCAGGAGACGCCCTAATTGTAGCTATTATGAACATTTCATTAATAAGCCCAGATTTACTGACTGCACTGTAACGCTCTCTTATTAAAGGAAGTCCGGAAATCCAATTCTTCGCATGCTTTTCTACTCCTGATGCCCTCAGCTACTCCATGTTAGAAAATAAGAAATAATTATATTTATTCAAATTCCTTGATGGAATATTGAAGCCTGCTCAGATGAATACCTCTCCTAAATGAGCACCATTACCACCAGATCAAAGAAGAAGAATGCCTAGCAAATGAATGGGGCCGAGGGAATTAATAAAACACACATCAAACGTTGAAAAGCTGAGGGTGTTTTTTCTTTTTAATAGTAGCACATATCCGGAATAATAAAGCAAAGCATTGATACCGTAAAAGTTGGCAAATAACACTCTCTCAGACTGGTGTTCAAATCTTAGAAAGCAGGCATTCTTTATTGCAGCACTGGAGACACAGGGGTCCGTCCACCAAACGTACCTGCCTGATGTTTTCAGAAGCAGGCATTATACAACAGTAATACACACATACTCATAAAATCTCCCTGAAAAGTTATATATATATTTAAATAATTTCTTGAAACTCATGAATAACATCTCTCTTTTACCAATGTTTTATTAGTTTGCTCAACAGGGCCAAGGCCGACACCCTTCTGTTTTACTTTGTTTACAGGGACACCTAGTCTACTCCCACTAAACAGCACTATACAGCTCAGTTCATTGCCTGTCAGGCTTAGCCCAGTGCGTAAAGATTAACCTCTTATGGTCCAAGCAAGTCGAGTATCAGCATGGAGTTGCCAAAATTCATCAGAGGGCATCTAAATAGAGCAGGAGATCACTGAAGTTCGGCACTTTTGGCCATCGAGCGGGGTTCCGGTGCTGCGGGATGGAGTTTTTCACAACTCCTGACAAGACATCCATTTTTTTACCCTGAGGTAAAAGTTTTCTTTCCGACAGAAAAAACCCAAACAACTTTTACCACCTGAAGACACGAGCGGCTCAGCAACACGGGCACCGTTTCCCACCGGGCGGCAACGCCAAGGGGGCGGGCGCCTCTTTCCCCTCCCCACTTCTCCGCCCCTCTCCAAACCACCGGGGCCGCCCGCGCCCCGTTCCTCACAGCCGAACGGACGCTGCTGCCGCCCCAACGGCCACCGGCAGCACTAGCCCTAGCGAAGCCCCATGGCCAGACGCGAAACCCACCCCCGGCTGCCCCACTGCCTCCCAGTTCGCCCCGCAACAAGGGCACCTCCCCTTCCCCGTCAACCGTGCCAAAGAGAGGGGCAGTGCGGGCCCTCTCGAGCCCGGAACCATGGTGCTGCGGTCGCAGTACCCGCCAGGCCTCGGCGAAACGCTACACATCCCCCACTCCCCCTTCCTCCCCTTTTCCCCTCCCCGCCCGCCGGACCTGTCTGGCGGCGGCTTCCGGCGGGGCGGGCGTTCGGCAGTATGGTGCGGCAGCGGTGGTTCGAAGAGGTGGCAGCGGAGGGGCTGGCGGGCTCCTGCCCGGGACAGGCGCGGTTCCTGCTGTAAGCATCCCGCACCGTGACGCGGCAGCCCGCGTGGAAGGGAGGGAAGGGGAAGGGATGGGATGGGATGGGAGGGGGAAAGCGAAGCGGCGAGGGAACGAGGCTGGACGGGGTGGGAGCGGTGGTAACCGGTGACGCATGTGGGTAGCCCCGCCCCGTGTCCTCGCGCCTGCCGTGGCGCGCCGCCGCGTGGTCGCTGACCGTGACGTGACGTGACGCGTGGTGACGCTGTGCCTTGCCTTCTCCCGCGCAGGTGGACGCTCCACAACTCTCGAGGCGAGTGAGGGGTCCGGCCGCAGCGGAGGAGAGAGAGGGGCTGCCCTGCTGTGCCGCGGTGGGACAGCGTGGTCTGCAGAGAGCAGGCTTTCCTTTCATCTCCCCCTTCCCCCTGTCCCACCATGGGCTTCGGGGCTGCCGGTGGGAATGGCAGGTGTGCTAGACAGCAGGGCCCTGGTGTCTAGCCCTGGGTTTGGAGAGGGATACTCGAGTACAGACAGCTCTGGCAGCAGAACGCAGTAAGGTAGATGAGGAGCATGCCTCTTAGATATAAGGAAGAAGTTCTTTGCAGTGAGGGTGGTGAGGCGCTGGAACAGGTTGCCCAAAGAAGTGGTAAATGCGCCATCACTGGCAGTGTTCAAGGCCAGATTGGACAGGGCCTTGGGCATCATGGTCTAGTGGAAAGTGTCACTGTTAATGGAACTAGATGATCTTAAGGTCCTTTCCAATCCTAACTATTCTATGATTCTGTTAGGTCTGAAATTTATCCCATACCGTTTCTCCAACCCAGGCTGAGATGCTGTCCTTTTCTAGCACTTAAAACAAGCAGACAACTTTATGAGGCTTTGGTGTCACTGATTTGGCAGGGTAGTGTGCCTGCATGGAGCTCCTTGCAGGATTGTGAGCCTTTGTCATGAAAGATTTTTAGGAAGGAATTGCATCTTTTCTCAGGAAAGTTGGCAATTACATACTGTGTAAACTTAGGATGACTTGTGCTCAGCTGAGCGCATGCCAGTACATATACTGGTGCTCTTGCATTCTAGTTGTACCTGAAACATAAAAAACATATCAACCTAGATAACGTTAAGATAGAAATCTACCATGTTAGTGTTTGCCTGTAAACCATAATTATTTCATGTAAATTTAAGTCTACCTTTATTAATCCATAGGTAAGGAATATGGATTAGAAAGGGTATGTCCTTACTGCTTCCAGTTCCTGCTTCCTGATAGCCACCGGGTGCGTCTCAAACCAAAGATGAAAGCGACCCCACAGATAGAGAAGATTCTGAAACGAGAGGCAAAGAACCACAAACTTAATATGAAACAGACCAAGCTTCTGAAAAAGTACAGGGAGTCAAGAAGTGTTCTGGTAAGGCTATTTACTTGGTTCTTCCAAATATGTGATATTTTCCTGAAACCTGAACTTTCAGAAACCCTAAAATCCTTCTCTTAGAAAATGAGCGCACACATACACATCTCTTGTCTTTTTTCCAGGAGCATGTAACTCTTCCTTTCTTTTGGGATAACTTCACAATCAAAATTCTTAGACTCTTCCCCCTACAATAGAGATTTCATGAGCACAGTGACAAGAACAGTAAGCTTCCCCTCCCCACAAAACCAAGCCAACCCCATATGTCAGAGAAGCTTCACAAGCAGCTCTGCCTGCCCTGTGGTCTCTTTAGCAGCAGCGTGGGGAGTCTCTGCAGTTATCTAACATCTTGCTGAAAATTAAGTAATATTTTCCTGCCAGGAAGCTATTGGCTTCCACCATCAGCATAACTGCAAAAAATGGCAAATGTTCCAGATTTTTGCCTGTTGCTTTTTTTTTTTCTATGTATTCTATTAAATTTGTATGAATTTTCAAGTCCGTAAGATGCAGAGCCTTAATACAGCAAATGTACATCCTAAAATCCATTAGAATCTTTAGAAGTCCATTGCTCTGAATACTCCAAAACATACCTAAGAAGAAAAACATGTCGTTGACTGAATTCAGGCTGGTTTTGCCAATAGGCATAGATTGACCATTTATTACCTTTGTTTCAGCTCTAAAGGGCTTGAGTGACTCACAGATCATAATTTTTCCCCGTTATATCAGTAAAAATACTTTGGCTCAATGAGCTTTACTTCATTTATTTCAGTAGACTGTCACAGCTACAACAGATTATTGTTACCTTCTGTACGAGCTGAGTTTTTTATATTTGTCTGACTATTACTGTTTATAGGAAGTCTTTCAAAACCAAACCACGCAGGTAATTTAAACAAGTTAATGTTGCTCCTGAGGTTTCAGTTTCTTTACCTGAAATCACTCCAGAATGTAAGATTTAATTACTATTTTTCATACTAACTACTATTATTTGAAGAATAATAGTATACTTTTAATCTAGCATTAAGTCTCTCCATGTACTACTATCAAAACGGGTTATATGAACGCATGTTTTGAGAGATGGGACAGGGCCGTATTGT